ACAGCACTGAGGCAGGGAGCAGCATGGGAATTCTGCTCACTGGTGGTTTTCTGACTGCTGGTATCCCTGAGCTGGCTCCTTTGTGGCACCTTGGAGGCCTGGCAGGGTTTTAGCTGAGCAATTTCTCAAGTTTAATTTCCAAAGCACCTTGTAGGGAATGACCTCAGTCTGTGTGTGGGACAGGCCCCAGTGGGTGCTCTGACCTTTGCCTGGCTGCTGGTGCCATGCAGCCCTGTGTCACTGCTGCGACCTACATTCTGCCTCCCCAAACATACGGCCTTGCACTTAGCTGCATTAAACCCACAGAGCGCTGCATAGGGCTAATTTCCGATCAGACTGTCAGGAAGTATTATGTCAAATACCTTACAGGAGTCTAAGCATATTATGCCAACACAGCTACCTTTGTCAACCAAATCTGAGATCTCATCAAAAAAGCAATGCTGGGCTTAGCCATCCTCAGTGCCTCCAGAGCAAACCCATCTCCAGGGCTTCTCCTGGGTCACTGCACCCCGAGCGCTGCCCAGACTCAGCCTGGGGCTGCAGCTCTGCAGGAGCAGCCCCAACCCCCTACCAGGAGCCAGCGGAGCTCGCGTGACACTGAAATAAAGAGTTCGTGGAGCAAGATCTTTACTCCCACATTGTGGGTGGGAAAGGCTGGGTGCAGGGCAGCATCCTGTGCCAGGTTACTGCTGCTTTTGCATGCTCAGCTCTTGTCCTACTTGACTGGGACCCGTGGTCCAGGTGCTCCCTATGCATGAAAAAATCTTGTCTTTCTCAGTTATCACTCGTTATTGCCAGTCACACTAGGTACCAGAGCCTTAAAGCTGCTGTTTAATGGCTGTGCTTGTGCCCCCCTCAGCAATGCAGCAGGACCAGCGTCAGTCCCTCCCTAAATAATTGTTTTAATTAGCATTTCCTTTGATGTAGGTGATTAACAGAGGGCTGCTGGCAGGGCTTCCATGGGAACTTTTGCAGTGGGCAGGCAGATAAGTACAGTCGTCTGTACTGCTGTAGCACTTAAACGTTTTAGTATCAGCCTCCCCAGTGGCAGCCAGTCAGTCTTCATTAGCCCCTCTGAGGCTTTTCTAATTCTGCCAGAGGCTGGAGGGGGAAGGAGTTTACAGCCCTTGCACAAGCGTGGAGCCCTGGGTGGGGTATGGCCCTGTCTGGCTGGACGAGCAAACCCTGAGGTAATGACCCCCAGGGAAAGAGCAGATCCTCGACCACAGAACCCTGGGGGAGTTTGACAGGGAGACAGGGGAAGGAGAGAAGCTGGGCTTGGGTACCAGCCAGCAAAGGGCTCTCAGCAGTGCCTGGTCAGCAGCCAGCAACTACCATTTACTCATCCCCCCATCCCCAAAGTCTGCAGTGAAAAAAGATAATCTGCAAATTAAAGTTTCCCTGCAGTGGGGTGGCAGTGCCCCATGCTGTGTTGGAGAAGGGACTGGAGTCCATCTGCCGTCAGAGCCAGCTCCTGATCCTATCAGGCTATTACTGTATTATTGAACTGGGGATTGAGGGACAGGCTTTAATAGCTGCAATGGTATCAGTGGTCCAGCATTAAACTCCAGGAAAAGGCCATGAAGATGAGCCTAAGAAATAGAAAGAACCAAGCTTAAATGACCACATCTCACGTTTTTGCAGTGTTTGCTATTTACTCCAGCCTCTGTGAAACTGAAGAGCTCCTAGCTGAAGAGCTAGGAGCTCAGAGGGTAAGGATGAAAGGCCAGGGAGATTTGGGTGTTTCCTGAGCTTGGAAAGAGCAGGGACTCCAAAGACCAACTCCACCAGCCAAGCTGAAACAGGGCAGGATGCAAGGACAGAAAGGCAAACCTCAGCAGCTGCCAAAATCCATGTGCCTGCCTGAAGCTCACTGGCTGGCCAGCCACAGCTGAACTGAAGGCTCAGTGGGGTGGCAGAGATCAGCTGCAACTCTCCACATCCACACTGGTCCAGTTTCAGCAACAGGTCCTCCTGGAGACTTCTGTGTCTGGCTGCCTTTTCCAGTGGTGGCATTTGCTCCCTGCTGTATTCACATCTCCCATTGCTCACACTTTGCCTGTCCTGAGTTATTTGAGCAGCTTGCATGGGATGCCCAGTCCCTCCCCTGTGGCACCAGCAAGCTGGAGCAGCCTGGCCTGCATTGGCAGGCAAGACCCTGGCACAGAAGGTGGATGCTTGGAGACCAAGTAGCAGCATATTGATTTTCAGATCAGAGGCAAAGGGGAAGCCTCGCAGTGTCCTCTCTGGGATGCTGGCTCCTGGCAGAAAGAGCTGATGCCCAGGGCCAGCATCCTGGGGAAGCAGCTTGATCCCTGCCAGCTCCTACTGGTGCCACATGCCATCAACAACTGCTTGAAAGGCGAAACAAAGAGGAGCCGAGGGAGCTCACTGCGAGCAGATGAGAGGCACTTCTGCTCGAGATGCTGTGGGGAAAACAAATCCTTGTGCTCGGCAGAGTGCACGGAGTGGCTGTATGGGCTGTATGAGGCAGGAGCTGGGCAGGGAGGGGGGAGAGGCCTCTGCTCCTGGGGATGAGGGGAGAAGGACACGGGCATTAATCGGCTGGCAGAGTGGCAGCTGGAAAGACTGCTTTGCCTTCCAGCTCCCTCGTGTGCTGAGGACCCCCTCCACGCAGAAGTGGCAATGGAATGATATTTATGCACTGCACACCGAGATCCCAGTTAGTGGTGGATGGCTCACATGCTGCACACTTTAATTAATTTGCCTTTTTCTGTTGAAAAATAACTTCTCTGACAGATTAGGATTGAGCAGAGAGGGCAACTACTCCCCAGCCAGCAGCCTGAGCAGCAACTGGAGGAACCAGTTACGGGGCTTGGCTTTGGGATCAGTAGTAATGGGAGAGACTCCCCACACACCCAGCTGTGACCAGGTCCCTGCCTCTCCTTCCTGCCCAGCACATCTCCTGGTGGTCACATACAGCTACAAGGTCACCCCACAAAAGCCACGTGTGGGGTGGGACTTCTGAGAGGGTCAAATAGAAGTACTTGCAGATGGAGCAACAGATAAGCCAAGGAGTGAGGGCAGAAAGCCCAGGACTCACAAGAACAAACAGGCATCACCACTTCACTGTACCACCTGCCAGGGCTTCAGCAACTTTCTCTGGGATCCCAGGTCTCCCTCCAGGCAGTGCTCACCCTCTGGTGTGGTCCAGGCCTCAGAATGCTGGAGCATTCACTGGCTGCAGCAGCACCCATGCAGGTTTCCATCTGTGATGGATTCATACAAAAAGTCCCCTTCCAGCACGGAAGCTCCAACCACTACCTCCTCCCACTGCCCCAGGTTTCTGGCACATTCTCCCTTCCTAGCTAACCTAAATAATCTTGTATCATCAGCTGTTCCCCTCCTCTTTCAGCTCATTAGGGCTTTTAGAGAACACTGGCTCCTACTGAACCCGACCAACCCACCATTAACCTCATTCTATGCCAAGAAATGGCTCTTACTTTTGACTCCAATTCCCACAGCTTCTATCTCCAGGAGGACTCTACCCCTCACCCTTGAGGTGACTAAATTTCTTTAATAGCCTCTTGTGAGGGACTTTATCAAAAGAGCCTTTTGAAAGCTAAATAAAATTCTCTGCACTGTATTTCTCGTTTTCCTAGGATTTTGTTAGCACATTTAAAGGCTCCTGACAGTCTATGGCTGAGAAAAGCTTTCACTTTTTAAGACTATTTCCTGCTCCTACGCAGCAAAGCTCTCACTTTGCCTCCTAAATTGGGCCAGCAAGTATGCATAGCTCTGGTTTGGTTTCCTGAAGCAGCTCTTGTTGAATTTCCATGTTGCTCCTGGCACTGCATTTGCCTCAGTGCTGCATTGTCACACTGCAGTGAGCAGGTAAAGTTGCAAGGCTTGGGGAAGGAGCCCTGAGCTGCTGTGCTGCTGTCCCTGGTGTGGGCAATCCCACTACCTGCTCTTCTCTGCAGGGCTCCAGGCCCCAGGTCACCACACAGACTCAGGGGTGTTGCTTGAGGATACAGTTAGATCAGCCCTGCCTGAAACAACTGAGGAAAACTGCTGCACTGGAGCAGGGGAGTCCAAAGCAGATACTTTTTTCCCACATGAAGCATGGGAGGCATAATAAATAAATTGCATTGGGCTGCATGTGGATGAGCTCATTGCCTAAGTGGGCTCAATTTTGCTTCATGTCCCCTCCTCACCCATTCACCCACATAGCTCCATCAGGTCTCAGGCAGGGATAATCTGGGCTTTCTTAGGTCTGAAACAGAAAAGAAAAACACTGCTCTCTGTACACATAAGCCCATCACCACTGAGGGCATCTACTCAGTTGTGTAGCAACAGCAGGTCAGCTAAAAAGCATGTCTGAGGCAGCACCAGAAGATTAAGCCTGTCCACACCCACTGTGCCCATGGCTCCTGCTTAAAGCCTGTAGGAAGGCAGGCTGCAGTCAGGCTCAGCTGATAGCAGCCTTTTGCCCACAGCTACAAAGCTGCCTCCTCTGACCAGGACTCCACTCTTACCTCAGGAAGAGCATCCCCTTCAAGTCTTGAATGGAAAAGTGCTTTAGAGCTTCAGACACATCCCATGCCAATGGCAAAGACAGTGGCTGTGGTCTGCTCTGGCTCCCACTGGAGCTCACCCCCTGCTCTGCCACAGTCTCCAGTGGGGGCAGGTGTGGACCAAGGGGAAGCCATGGGCAGAGCAGGCTTCAGGGCTCTGCACAGCAGCCTGGCCACAGCGCCCAGCAACAGCGCACGCCAGGCTCTGAGAATCTGCCAGCACAGGGCGAGGCAGCCCACAAGACACTTCTCCAACTGAGATGGAAATTTTTCCGTAGATAGCTTGGCTCATTCTGAAAATGGATATCTATAAATGCTCTGCAACACATCTACCAAGAATGGGCCTCAAGGTTCTTCCAGGAATCATGCAGGGAGAGGGAAGAAGTGATGTCAGGCTGAGCTGAAGCAGGTTTTTTTCCAGGTTCTGTTTTAGTTTGTTTTCAAGCAGAGCAATAAACAGCTCTGTCTAGACCTGCACTGCCTTGTCTGTCCATCTGAGACATAGCTCTTCTGGCTCCCAGCTGCCAGCACATCCTCAGGCCCCTCCACAGTAAGGCAAAACAGGGATGCATGAAACCTTCCTTGCCACACAAGGGAATCCCATTTTTCAGGCTGCTCTCCTGTCAGATCAGGGATGTGGTTGGCTTGGGGCAGGTTTTAGAGCCTCATTAACACTCAGCAATGAGGCCTGGCAGCAGCTGATTTGATTTAAGGTTCATCTCCAGGCTGTGATTTAAGGGAAGATTTGCTTAATGTTCTCTAACAGACTCTTCTGACTGGGAGCTTGAGTGCTGCCTAATGACAGACTTATTTATTGTAATGTCTTAGCAGCAGAGAATCTAGAGGAGCTGGGCAGGAGCACAGCAGCTGCTGGCAGGTGCTCAGACAGCACTGGAAACATCCCTCACACCACACTGGTAACAGAGGACTGTGCATTCCTCTATCCAGAACAGCCAGATACTGCAACCCTCTTCTGCATCAAGGGGTCAGCAAGACAGACCACTCCCTGCTTGCCCAAGATGTTCAGTGCTGCACCTCTCCACAGCTTTTTACACAGGACAGGTGAAACGCTCTTCTTTCTCCTTAGTGCAGGACTTGAATGATGGGAAATGCAGAGGTGCCTGCTCATCTCCAGACTGGTTAAAATGTGATTTGCAAGTAAGACTCCCAAATGCAACTCCTTGTTTCCCAGTTTTGGAGTTTCAACTCACAGGCTGAGTCTGCTTTCCTCCGGGGAAAGGGGTGGTCATCATCTGACATTTGCATGCTGCCTGGAGCTTCATAGATGAAAGTATCTGTCCCCAAGGCCAAAGACAGAGACAACCATCACACAAATGAAGACAGGAGGTCAAGCAGGGGTTTGTCATATTTTAATGACATTGATCTTTGGTGTTTCCCTCGTCAGCACTCACACTCTCCCCGTACTTCCTCCATAAGCCTGCTAGGGATGGAGAGTTACAAACGAAAAGGAAAATCACATTTGAGACTAAAAACAAAGTATCAGAGCCTTGACTTCTCCACTAGAAACTACATGTACAAGGTCAAGATTTCACATGCAACACCTTACATCACAGACCCATACCTCACACCCTGGCCTGGAGCTGAAAAGAGACTTCCTGACTCCTGTCAAGGATGTGCAGCTCAGTCCTGGCACCATGAAACCACTGGAGTGGCTCATTCATGTTAATATTGGCACAGCTTAGAACATCCTTGTGAGAACTGCATCCTGACTAGAGAGCAGTAGCCCTTGTCCCTCTACCCATCCATACGGCATCTCTGCTTCGGTTCCTGCCAAGTCCTAAACTAACTCTAAAAAGGAAAGATTCCACCTGTGAGCATATCCTGAGCCATGCATGTTCTGGTGAAGCCCAGTTCTTCCCAGAAAAGACCACAGCATAGGCAGGACTGGTCTCAGAAAACCACACTCTGGGGGAGCAGTGCTGTGCTATGGAGAGGGACTATGGCCTGGAAGACTCCTCCACTCCAGCAACAGAGCTGGAGCATCACGCCTGGGTTTGCCCAGTACTGCCTGTCTCCAGAAGGATGCTGCAGGCCCCCTTCCCTTTCTTCACTCTACTGATCAGCTCCATGGGTATAAAAGGGCAGGAAAAAGGAAAGGAAAAAGGCTTTACAAAGGATGACACACCCAGTTGCAGGGCTTAGCTCTGGAGATGCCATGGGGCTTCAAAATTTGGCTGATGTGCAGCAAGTGTGGTTTGTATTCCTGTTAACTCCTCAGCAGTGGGAATGTTGGAAGTTAAGTATGCTTTCTTTCCCATGGTTTCCCTTGCAATTCTGATCCCTTCCCCCATCACCCAGGATAGAGAAGCCCTCTGAACCACCAGCATCCTGTTAGAGCCACCCATCCCTGCTCTTCCAGCTCCTGGCCAGCTGTGAGGTACAGGTCTCTGCCGAGCAGTACAAGGGTAGCACCAACACACAACTCAATCTCTACCTGTTCCGCGACTCCCCACTGGTGCTGTCATTACTATAGAAGTTGGTACTGTCAGAAAGATGGTTATTGTTAGTTAGGTCACTGTATTCAATTGGTCCCTCGGTGTCCATGGAGGACTGGGCCTGCTCTGGCAGATCCAGGTCACCAGCGCTTTGTCCTTCACTCCCACTAGGGGCTGTCCGTGGGCTCAGGCCACGCTCCGGCAGCTGCACGGACTCCGACAGGATCCGTCCCTCCAGCTCTGTGCCCAGCTGCTGAGAGGTGGACTGCTGTGCCGACGCGCCCTCAGCTCCAGTGGGCTCTGTGCCAGTCTGAGAGCTGCGGTGGATCCGGTGGCTCACAATGATGTTGTTGCCAAAGCCACCCATGGATGCCATGGTGGTGCTCTGCTCCCTCTGAACCACGGCAGTCATGCCACCTTCTGCCATCAGCCTTTGAATCCTGCTCAGGGCATCCTCACCACTGGCCCCATATTCTGGACCTTCACCTGCAAAAGAAAGCACAAGCAACTCTGGTGCACAAGGCAAACCACAACACAAAATAAAGCATGCTGAGTAGTTGCATCATGCAGTGTGCGTGTGTGGGACAGAAGATGAAGGTTCTATTCCACACAGAGCCCAGTATTTTATTTCCATAACTTGCCACTTGGTTAAGTGTAAAACAAAGGCACTGAATTCTCTCAAGAAAATCTTGGTCATTTCCACAGGTAACCCTCAGAGACTTGTATGCCCAAGCCTTGGAAAAGCAGCTCTCATCCGGCCATAAAGATGGGGGAAGGGGTAGTAGCTAAAGAGGCAGGATGCTTTATCACAGCTGTAGAGATTATCTCTACCCACGGGGACAAGAAGTGAAACCCCAGTTTGCACTGCAATAAACCAAACAGTTCACCATGGTGTTAAAGAACTCCATGGCTTTTCCTACTTCACCTGTTTGAGAAGTAGGCAGATGACACACTGGCAATGCCCCCAGTGCCAGTCTAGGGAGGACAAAAGAAGCTAGCCAACAGCAAACAGAAGCTACAGAACATGGTCTTCCACATTAGCTATGATCAAGTGTGTAGGCTCCTGCTCCCCTTGACTGATATCTTTTGAGGAATACAAAAAAAAAAATCTCAAGACCTACAGTCTTTGTCTACTCTTATCTCTGAGGCTTTCCTTTATTGTCAGGCTGTAGTGAGCTCTGAGAGAACCATCGTCACATACCTTGGTTGCTCAAGATTACTTCAGGAGAACAAAATCTCACCAAAGAATTGTCCATGTAGAAGATTAAAACACCATGACAGGGAAGTTCATTCCAGTTCAGTTTCTCAACATCCTCCTTTTGCTATAAACCCTACCCAGAGCATTTGGGGATAACAATCTGTAATAATAAACTGCTAGAAACATTCCACAGTGGGATCTTGCTGATTCTTATTAAAGAAATAAATCTCACTCCCACCTCTATGAAGCTATCACAGTGCTGATTTGAGGAGAAAGCCATGAGCTCTCCTGGCACCAAGGAAATGAACACAAATGTCAACAAGGCTAGATGTAGGGAGGAGTTAGAACACAATAAAAAACAAAATGCCACACTGACTAGGAAAACAAAAATACTTGGGGCTGTGGAGTTTAATATCTTTATCCATGATTTGGATGAGGGGATTCTAGTGCACTCTCAGTGAGCTCACAGTTGACAGTATGTTGGTTGACAGTAAGTTGATTGACAGTAAGTTGATATGCTGGAGGGCAGAAAGGGTCTGAGAAAGAATCTGGACAGGCTAGGTCAAAGGCAAAGACCAATTGCATGAGGTTCAACAAGGTACCCTTGAGTCACAACAGTCCCAGGTGGCACTACAGGCTGGGGAAAGGGGGGCTGGAAAGCTGCTCAGCAGAAAAGGTCCTGGGCATGCTGGCTGACATGGCTGAGCATGATCCAGTGTGTGTCCAGGTGGCCAAGAAAGCCAATGGCCTGTATCAGCAATAGTGTGGCCAGCAGGATCAGGGAAGATTGTCTCCCTGTACTCAGCACTAGTGAGGCCATGCCTTGAACCCTGTGGCCAGTTTTGGGCGCCTCACAACAAAAAAGGTCATTGAGGTACTGGAGCACATCCAGAGAAGGGCAATGATGCTGGTGAAAGGTCTGGAGCACATGTCGTAAGAAGAGTAGCTAAGGGACCTGAGGTTGTTTACCTGGAGAAAAGCAGGGTCAGGGGAGACCTTATCACTCCCTACAACTACCTGAAAGGAGGTGCAGCCAGTCTCTTACCCCAGTTAACCAGCAACAGGATAAGAGGAAATGGCCTCAAGATGCACCAGGGAAGGTTCAGGGTGGACATTAGCAAGAACTTTTTTCACTGAGACAGTGCTCACTCATTTTAACTGCCTAGGGAAGTGGTGGAGTCACAATTCCTGGAACTATTTAATAAATGACAGGACATGGCAATTAGTGCTATAATTTAGTTACATAGCGGTGTTCAGCCAAAGGTTGGACTTGATGATCTTGGAAGTGTTCTCCAGCCTAAATGATTGGATGATCATGTATCCAGCATGAGAGCTAAGATACTCAGCAAAGTCCACACCATGCCACTTGAGAGACGCCATGCAGTCAGTCAGTGACAGCTCATTCCCTTTTCTCATGGGCTCAGTAGTATTTGCATCAAGCACTGCCAGCATCCCTTACCACAGGACACAGTTAATTTCATCCTCAAGGAAGTCTGCTGACATATTGTCCTCCTGCAGAAATATTATGGACATTAAGGGCAAATTTACATCTCACCAGTAGTGTAAGTAGATTCCTGTTAGGAATGCAGTAAACCTGCTACATGCACTATACCTTGCCCCTCAATTAGAGCATCAGTGGGACCACAGAGACACCTGTAACCACATGAGAATCTGCAGCACAGCCTAAGAGGAGTGAGCAAGAATACCCCCTGGACAGAGCCTGACCCACGACTCTAGCAGAGAAATCCTATTCAGGATGTGGCTGATGCACGAACTAGGAACTTGGCTGACCAGTACAAAGACTGAGGACAGAGGCAACTGTTATAT